CGGTCGTGTTCCTTCACCACACACAGGGTCAGGATGTCCAGGCTCCTGTTGTACCAGCTGATCACTGCAAGGCAAAGAGGGGTGAGCTGGGAGAGTGGCACCCCCGCCCCCCTGTGCCCCCTGCCATCACACAGTACCGTTGTGGGTTATCTCCTCATGCATTTTCTGCTGCAGGATGGGGATCAGGTTGATGGGCTCTTCCGGGGCAGGGACCTGCCGGGGGTCCTGGCAGGATGAGAGGAGGGCGAGGATGTGCTCAGCCACCTGTCCTGAGGTCATGGCTGTGGGGACAAGAGGACACCGGGAGCGTGGTGGGATGGGACCTGTCCCCCCGGGAGCCGGCAGTGCCAAACGTAAGGAATCTGATCCCCCAGGACCAGGGACCCCCCTCATTCTCTTCCCTACCTTTCTGGGCTCTCGTCACCACCTCCTCCTTGATCTCCTGGAGCAGCAACTTGTACATGGAAGTGTTGGTGTCCGCCCCAAGCAGGTTCATGGCCAGCAGGACGCTGGGGTTCGACCGTGCGTGTGGCTGGATCGACTCCTCCATGCGCTGCAGCAGCTCCTGGACCAGCTGGTCACAGGAGGCCGTAGCCCAGCACCCCTCTGGCCCCGAGGGCAGGAGGTCCCTGGGACCCCCATGTCCCATCCCCCCCTGCCCCTGTAGTGTCACCGGGGTGTCTCCAGTGCCCCTGCAGGAGGAGGGACAGTGACCACAGCCCTGTGTGACAGTGCCACAGACCAGGGCCAGCAGGACCCCGACACCAAAAGCCACTCCTGGCATCCTCTGGCCTTGGGAAAGCTGATCCGCTCAGGGCAGCAGAGAGCAGGGGCACTTGTCTCTCTGGGCTTCCTCCTGGCTTTTATCTGCTCCTGGTGCCATCCTTTGATCACCTGCCCTGCCACACCTGCCCCGGCGCTGCCACACGGTGCCACCTCATCTGTGTGGCAATGGAAGCGGCTGGAGGGTGTCACTGTCCCCATGGCTTGAGGAAGGGAGGGTCCTGTCTGACTGGTTTGATGTCCTGGATGAGATCCCCCATCCCAGAGATGATGGAAGGTTTGTGGATGTTGTTTTTCAGGGTGTCAGGAAGAGTTTGGATCCCGTCCCTCCCAGCTCCTTCTGGAGACGGTGTCCATGGAATCCTGGAATGGTTGGGGCTGGAAGGCACCTTGGAAGGGTCCATGTGGGAGATGAGCAGGTCCAGGCTGAAGGAGTGTCTGGGCAGGGCGCAGTGGGAGTAGGGAATGGGGCTCCACGTGCCTGGAGAGCAGTTGGGACCCAACTGGGAGGTGCTGGTGACTCCAGCCGGGGATCGAGTCCCAGAACCAGGTTTGGAATCGTTGTCCCCACCCCCAGCTGCAACCTTTGGGACCTCAGGCCACCACCTCCAGATTTCTGGGGGAGAAATCCAACTGGTGGCCTCAGGCTGATCGTAATTGGGATTGCAATAATCAAACCACATTATTACACCTGATTGTAATTGGGATTGCAATAATCAAACCACATTATTACACCTGATTAATGCAATTAGAGCTTGTGCAGAGATCAGATTTATTGAACTGAAGTACGGGAATGTGGCCAGAGGAACAACCCAACTGACGAGTGGGTAAGACTGGGAAGGGCTTTGCTGATGCCCAGGGTGGGACTGACAGTCCAGAGTCTGGGTGAGGCTGGATTTGTGTGGGATGGTGGGCAAGAGAAGAGGGAAGTTGAACTAATGAAATGAAGAAGGAAAGAAGGCAAAAGGGATCTGAGCCCTGTTTTCCCCAGGGACACAGAGGGACACGCTGGAATGGCCCTTTATTGCTCCCTGGTGGGATGCAGGGTCTCTTGGTGGCTTCAGTAGGTGCTGAAGATGGCCTGGATGTGCTCCCAGTTTTTTGGCCTGTAGGTTCCGACCCCTGTGGCAGAGGGATGTGTGAGGGTGGGACATGGAGACCCCCAGCATGACCCCCACCTTCCCTGACTGCCCACCTTGATCCAAAGGTTTCCCAGAGCTGAGGAACTGCCAGTAGGTCCTGTCGTTGTCACTGCCAGCCAGCCCGTGGATGGAGACCACGAAGGGACCCCAGGACGTCTGCTCCGTCTTGAAGCTGCCGGGGAGGTGAGTGGGCTCAGGGCTGGGTGGGGAGATGCCAAACCCCACCCCTCTGGCTCCTCTGGCTCTCACCTAAAGTTTTCAGGATCCATCTCCTCTGCCCTCTCCAGCACTTTGAGCAGTGTGGAGTCACCCGGGACCGTCACCGAGATGCTGTAGTGCCAGGGGATCCCCTGGAGGTTGTTGGTGATGGAGTAGTGCACTGTGATGTCCTGGGACTCCTGTGGGGTCTGGGAGGCTCCAGGTGGGCTCATCATACCTGTGGGAACCCTCTGTGTCCCCAGGCTTGGGCACAGATCCGTGGGGGCACCGCAGTTCAGCGTGGCCGCATCCAGGTAGGACGTGCCCACGAGGGCCGGGAGCACCTGGGCGATGGCCATGGGCAGCTCGAAGGTGTGGTTGGTCACCACGGCAAAGGCCTGGGCACAATCCCAGTCCCGAGGGGCATAAAAGTCCCTCGAGGCCTCCAGTGCCTGCGGAAGAGGTGGGAGGTGGTGTGGCCAATCTGGGAACTGGGCCGGGTGGCTGTGACAGCACATTCCCCACCCCCGTACCTGCAGGGCCAGCCCCATGCTGTAGATGTTCCCGATCAGGCCGTTCCTCTCCTCCTGCTCATCCAGGAAGTCGTTGGTCACCGTCCAAACTGCCTCGTGGAGCAGATCCCGCACCTCCGGGTCCTCCACGTTGTCGTGGGCGCACAGCAGGGCCAGCACCGCCACGGCGCGGGTGTCTGTGGGTCCCGGGGTCACTGCCAAGCCCCGGAGAGACCCCCGGAGCGGGAATGTGGGAGCAGAGGGATCTCTTACCCACGCTGAGGGGGCTGTTGGGGCTCAGCACCTCCTTGGCCAAGGCCACCGCTGGCCCCCGGTACCCATCTGCCCTGGCCAGGCACAGGGCCATGGTGTCCAGGCTCACGCTGAACAGGGTGGTTTTGGGATGGCCCTTGTCCTCTGGAAAACAGAGCAGTGAGATGATGGGATGCAGGGAGGTGGACACCCCCCAGGGCCCAGCGTACCCAGCTCAGCCATCTCCTCATCTGTTTTCTGCTGCAGGATGGAGGTCAGGTCGATGGTCTGTCCCAGGGCTTGGACCTGCCGGGGGTCCTGGCAGGACGAGAGGAGGGCGAGGACGTGCTCAGCCACCTGTCCTGAGGTCATGGCTGTGGGGACAAGAGGACACCGGGAGCGTGGTGGGATGGGACCTGTCCCCCCGGGAGCCGGCAGTGCCAAACCTAAGGAATCTGATCCCCCGGGACCAGGGGCCCTCCCTCATTCCCTTCCCTACCTTTCTGGGCTCTCGTCACCACCTCCTCCTTGATCTCCTGGAGCAGCAACTTGTAGTTGGGACTCTGGGTGTCCACCCCAAGCAGGCTCATGGCCAGCAGGATGCTGGGATTCGGCACCTCTCCGGGCTTGATGGAGCCCTCCATGCTCTGGAGCAACCGGCAGACCAGGTCCTGCGGGGCCGCTGGAAGGAGAGGGAAGGTCACCGGGATCCCCCGGCCCATCCACGGGCTCTCCCGAGTCTCCACCCTCTCCCACTCACCGCAGTGCTCCGTGGCCGTGCAGCCCAGCAGGGCCAGTAGGACCCCCATGGCCAAAGCCAGGCCCAGCATCCTGTCAGGGCGCACTGATCCGCTCGGGACGGCGGAATCCTGCGGGAATTGGTCTCCCCGGGCGTCCTCGCTGCTTTTAACTGTTCCCAGTGACCTCCAGCCGCCCGTCCTCCCGCGGTGCCAGCGGCTTATCTGTGTGTCCAACTGTGCCCGGCCGGGGAGGGACAGGGATTTTCCACCTGGGATCACTGGGCACCGCTTGGGCCAGTTCCATATCCGTGAGGCTGGATGGGGTTCCCAGCAGGAACCTCCTTCAGTCATCTACCCAAGGTCCTGGAAGCCCCAGGAGGTCTGTGCGGGCTGGACTCTCTCCGGCTGTATCCCACTTGGGCTTTCCAGGAAACTGCAGCCCTGTTGATCTAACCTTGGTACCGGGAAAAACGGTGGGAAAGGACGTACTGGGCAGTACTGGGAAGCAATCCAAGGATTATTCTAGCATCAGGTGCGGGAAAACAGAGGGAAATTCCTGTCTAACTGGTTTCTTATCCCGCTACCATAAGGTCACCCAGGTGATGGGGGGGCACTGCTTGTAATTACGGGATTTTAGAAGGAGTTTTGCTCTGGCCCCTTCACAGAATCCTTCTGGAGAAGGTGTCCAGCTGTGGGATGGGCAGGGACGGGGTGTGCTGGGCAAAGAACTGGCTGCTGTACTGGTTTCACTGGGATAGGGGCCATTTTATTCCAGGTACTGGGTTTGGATTCAGGCCAGGGATGCTGTGGGTCACACATGGGCGAATTGGTGTGTTGTCACCAAGGACTCTGCAGTGTCCCACGGGAGAATCCATGGTTCCCCTGCTCTGCCAGCCAGGAGGTGACACCATCATCATCCTCCTCACAACATCATCACCGTGTCCTGCTTGCCCAACATCTGCTCTGCTCCAGGGGGGCCTCCAGTGCCCCCCGGGAGCCCCTTTGTCCCCCTGAGCAGGGGGGTGACCTGGGGCTGGGATGTCACACAGGAGTCCTCCCCTGCAGGGCTGTGACGTTGCACAGCCACCCCCTGGCTCCCAGTAGGGTCCTGGCAGATTCCCCCAAGAAGGGGAGGTGACAGCCCCAAAATGCCTGAAAATTCACAAGGGGGGGGGGGGTGTAAAACACTGCAGAGTTCCTCATTTTTATGTGTATTGGGAAATAATAGTATTTTATTTCAAAATCGATTTCAGAATAACCTCCCGTGTCTGGTGTGTTACAGACAGGACTTTATTCCATAGGAAAGTCTGGATCTGTAGGGTTTGGAAATACAAATCTAACGTTTGTGTATAGAAATAAAACCATAAAGGACTGGGAAATGTGCCGGGTGACCCGTACGGAGGAGCAAGAAGCAGCTCTGCGTGTTCAGATGTTTGTTCTCTCTCCCCTCGCTGTGACTCCCCAAATCCGGGATCGGGGCCGGGATTTCAGGGGGGGCTCGTTAATTAACCCGCGGCGGCTCTTTGCGCTCAGTGCTGCCGTCTGCGGGGAACCCCCGGCACTGCAGCTCGGGAACGGGACCCGGGACCGGGACCGGGAATGGGAACGGGAACGGGACCGGGAATGGGAACGGGAACGGGACCGGGAATGGGACGGGGAGCGGCACC